ACTCAATTAGAATTAAGATCACGACATTGCTCTCAGTGCATGCTCCCTATAGGACTTTATTGCTTTTCTTTATTTATTGTTGATCGATGAGTCACTCAATTAGAATTGAGATCACAACTTCGCCCTCAGTGCATGTTACCTATAGGAATTTATTGCTTTCCTTTATTTTATTTTCGATCAATGAGTCACTCAATTAGAATTTAGATCACGACCTCTCTCTTAGTGCATGTTTCCTATAGGATAGTTATCCTCACCCTTAGGTATATCTTTGTTTGCTAACACTAGGCAGTCTTTACCCTTTTGTTAATCCTAACTTTAGGACCACCATTCTATGATAATATTAGGAATAAAATTTCCCTTATATTTTCATTCCCCTGTTGCATCCATCAAGATAAAAAATACTTTTTTTCTTAATCAAATGTTAAAACACATAACAATAATGATGCGAACCATGTGGCCCAAGCCTTAAGTACATGAAGAGGACTTCAAATTTGAGGCGTTTGACTCGATCATCCAAGGGTCTTCATGGCATATACTTTTGCATGATATGTGCCTCAAACATTTTCAAAACTTAAAGGAGAATTATTCAAGTACCCCTTGTCTAAGGGAGCTACTTGATGTATTCTCCTACCAAAAAGACTCAACAAATTGAAACATTTTTTCCTTCGGGCTTTTCCTTTTGAAAACCTTTTCAGGTAACAGCATATTGATTCCTTTCTAAGACAACACGTGAGTCTCCAAAGGTCGAGCTGTAGTAGAATGTGAAATTAGCATTGTTTATTAAAAAACATAAAATAAACAAAAATTGTTGAGCCGAACTACGACGCTCTGATTCCTTAAAGGGATACATTGGCATTAGGTTGCAGGTACTAAGCGAGCACAACTATTTAAAACCTTTGTTTTCCATGTATAATATTCTCATGCATTTCCCTTAATTTGTAAGCTTTAGCATAGTTTAAACACACCATTTGATTAGAACAACAAGAGTGGATCTCGTGTAGTACCACGAACGTGAGGGGTGCTAATACCCTCTCGTACCCATTTCTTTGTCGCGAGACCTTGTTCTCGCTTACTTCAGGTTTACTCGATGTTTTCCTATCCCTTCTTCAGGATAAACAACATTCAATGGCGACTTCATTGTATTTTCCTAGTTGCTTCACGTGTGACCCAAAGACTCGGGGAGGAATTGGGTGAAGTAGGGAATTGGGAAAAAATATTGAATGAGGGATTTTATTGTTAAGGACAGATAAGAGCATGCGATTTATAAGGTAACATGTCGTTAACACAACATCCCCAAAAAACCAAGTGGAACATTACTATGGAGAAGTAGAGTCTGAGTGGTTTCTACGGGATGCTGATTTTTGCATTCAGCTAACCTGTTTTTTTGAGGTGTATGAGGGAAAGATGTTTGGAGGAGAATATTATTGCTAGACATAAAAGTTTGAAATTGTTGGGATAAGTATTCATGAACATTATCACTTCTTAAGATTCCCATATATAATATTTCCCTCGTAATTTCCAGATTCCTCAGATACCCTCCCTGCCACATTGCAACAAAGATTCTCTTTAACTGCCTACGTGACAGTCCACGTGGTATTTGTTTGTTTTTTTAATTAATTTTTTAATCCACGTGTAATTTTTAAAATATTTTTATATTATATTTTTATTTTAAATGATATTTTATATTTTATTAACTTTTTTATTATTTTTAATTTATGTTTTTTAAATTAAATATTAAAATTTGGTTTGGGCTTAAAGTTCAAGTTGGACTATACAACAATCAAATAACTTATAAAATTTATAACTACTTTGTGAAAGTGATATATAAACACTTTTATTTCCTTTCCTTTTTCTGATGTGGGGCTTATGTTTGAAGAAATAAGATGAAACTGGAAACTGGTGCAAACTGAAACAACAAGAAAAAGAGAAAAAGTAGAGGCGCGAATGACAAAGCTATCAAACATTTTTCATGGGGTATGTGACCAGCTGGTAGTGGCTAATATTTATGTGTGTGAATAGCTCCACTGAGTTCATTGTTGTTGGAATAATATAGCAAGTGTGAGTAAGTGGGGAAATAGTCTCACATTGGATAGGAATGTGGAGACTTGAGCATATACAAGTGAGAAAATCCACTCACCTATCATCTTAAGGTTTTTGGTGGATAAGTGGTGTGTCTCTCACAAAGGTGCCTAGTCCTACACAATGTATCAATGCTCCTAGTATCTCCCCCAACAATTGTAATTGATATCAAGGTACTGCAATTGTGTGAGATTTTGTCTAATATTTAAAAAAAATTAAGGTCTATATATTGTAGATATTGAAGCATAGCTATTGAAGGATTGAATGCGAGGAGTGCATGTGTCTCCCTTTCATTGCACTTGATCAATCCATTCTTTGTTGATTTGAACCCGAAAATCTGAATCTAATAAAAAATTGGCTAAATGAATTTGTTATGAAATGAAAGTCATTGATTTTGGCATCAGTTTTCTAAGAGGTATTCTACCTTGCCTTTTATTGTGCTGTTTCAGAGAAATAAAGATTTTATGATTATCTTATACCAAATTTATGGGTCATTGTAATCATGTGTTTCTTATTTCTCTGTAATAATGCTCATTTATCATAGGTTCAACCCTGAATTTTCATTATCATCAAAATATTTTTGGTTGTGTACAAAGATGCAAGGGGATGATTAATGTTTGTACTGGGAATCACATTTCTATATAACAAGATTTTCTTCAATCGAACTGTTTATAATAAAATATTTTCAAGAATATATATTGTTGTCAGCAACTATCAGTCATCATTTTTAAGATCAATGTTTGATTTTGAAGATCAATTTAGTTATACTTTTAGAAGTTTCAGTTAGATATTCAATTTTAATTGTGCAAACGTCAGAAAGATTTTTTGATCGACTCAATTGTTAAGTTGTACATCTTAGTGCCAGTGCAGGAGTTCACTGCTTACCTATTAAAAAGTTTTTGGTTTTCATTGTTCGGTAGTTATTCTTCTTCTGTTTTCAATATTGTCTTGGCTCACTCCAGGATTACAAAAGCTTGTCCTGTTAAATCTGAAAGGGTGCCTTGTATCATTTGCATGCTTGGATTCTCTTGCAGGTTGAATTCCTTCATAGATTTAATGCCAAATGCCCCAAATCAGCTCCAAATAAATGTATAAAAATGCAATTATATAAGTTTGAATAATTAAATAAATTAAAAAGAAATTCTTCATAATGAAAGTTTACTCGATTTGATGTGAATACCTCTATTTTTCTCTCAAATATATGTTGTTTTTATATTGGATCGATAATGTAGACCTGCTGAATTGGAAATGTCATCTTTTATTATCTTGCTTTTAGCTATTGATATTGTATTAACTGTTAATGTTAATGTACAAACTATTAACTTTTGTGTGCAAAGAGATGATCATGTTCTCCAACGTGTTTTTTTGCATGTATTGGAAGCACAAACATGATAAGGTGCTGCTTAAGTTGATAAACATGGTAGAAAAAGTGTTATGTTTTCACAACCAGTCCCACTTCGACTTATATAAGAAAAGCATAAGTGTTTATAAAACAGAAACACATTTACTAGAATGAATTGAAAATGAGCTCAGCGTAAAAGGGCCTAAAAGGCAAATATATTTCTTATTACATTTTTATATATAAATAATTTCTTAATTTAAAAAAGCTAATAGTATTAATTAATAAATATTATATAATAAATAAATAAATTAAAAATAACAATTAAAATTAATGGAAAAAATATAAAAACCTTGTTAGTCTTTTCTTCTTTATATTAGCGAATCTATGTGCAGTTTAGAAAAATGGGGTGCGAAAAATAAAAGGTAATTAGAATTTAGAACGACACAGCACATAGCCATATATCGTAAAGCGATAAGAACTGAGGGAAGCACAGTGAAATTTTCACATCAATGGAAGAAGAACCTCAACAACAAGAAAAGCTTCTTCAATCCTCTTCCTATCCCTTCTACTGGGGCTACACACCGGAAGAACAATACTACAAACAACAACTAATCACATCCACAAAATCAACCTTCACAACACCAAGAAACCTCACCCTCTTCACCAGATCATGGCTCCCAAACCCCACCACCCCACCACGCGCTCTCATCTTCATGATCCATGGCTACGGTAACGACATCTCATGGACCTTCCAATCCACCCCAATCTTCCTTGCTCAAATGGGGTTCGCTTGTTTTGCTCTTGACCTTCAAGGCCACGGTCAAACACAAGGTCTCAAAGCTTTTGTCCCTAACGTTGACCTTGTTGTACAGGATTGTCTCTCTTACTTCAATTCCATCAAACAAGATCCAAAGTTTGAAGCTTTACCTTGTTTTTTGTTCGGTGAATCAATGGGTGGTGCTATTTGTCTTTTGATTCATTTTGCTGATCCAAGAGGTTTTCAAGGTGCTATCTTGGTAGCACCCATGTGTAAAATCTCTGATAAGGTTAGACCCAGATGGCCAATTCCTCAGATTCTCACTTTTCTTGCAAGATTCTTCCCTACTTTGGCTATTGTTCCTACTCCTGATCTTCTTTACAAGTCTGTGAAAGTTGATCATAAGAAGGTTATTGCTGAAATGAATCCTTTGAGGTATAGAGGGAAGCCTAGGTTAGGAACTGTGGTGGAGCTTTTGAGAGTTACTGATATTTTGAGTAGGAAGCTTTGTGATGTTGAGCTTCCTTTTATTGTGTTACATGGTAGTGCTGATGTTGTTACTGATCCTGAGGTTAGTAGGGAGTTGTATGAAGAAGCTAGGAGTGAAGATAAGAGTATTAAGGTGTTTGATGGGATGATGCATTCTTTGCTTTTTGGGGAGACTGATGAGAATGTTGAAATTGTTAGGAGTGATATTTTGCAGTGGTTGAATGCTAGATGCAAGTGAAGAACATGTGTAGATTAAAATTATTGTTGTGATGATTGATAAGAATGTTGTTCATCATTCGATGAAATTCCTCAATGAGGATTTGAATTAAAATAATGGTCTATAGTATACATAGTTGTTTTTATTTTTATTTTTATCAAAGATATGATTCTTGGAATGACATGAGGTGTTGTTTTGTACTAAATTTAAGTTTATGGTTTGGGACAAAAAGGGCATGTTCTGTGTTTTGGGTGAGTGGTTTGTGTGTGGATATTATAAGGGAATTGGATATGTTATGTGATTGTAATGCTGACATAGCAGAATCAGATGTTTCTATCAGAAATTTATATTTTATATTTTATATTTTATATTTTTCTTTGTTATTGTGTAGTTGAACTTTAGGTTCATGTACAATTTCTGAACATTGTTGAAATGCATTTGAAAAATTGTTTCCCCTCCTGAAATGAAACTTAGGTTCATATAAACAACTAAAACAGATTTTCTAGCATTTACTATAAACTAACTGTAAAATGTTAAGGCCCTTAACCATTGCAACAACTGAGATTGGTACACAGGTTGTGTCGACGACGAATCTGTATCCATATTCAGACTGAACCTCTAAACCAGCACATGAAAATAGGAATCGAGCAAACATTCACAGTGTAGCATAATGCGCAAGTGATCCAAACCTGGGAGACAACGGGTTGTAGTACAGAAACCAATTACCCATCGACAAAAACATAATCGAAATTCAAGGTGCTCCAGCCTAAGGATAGATCGAAAGATCGATAACAGTTAAAACCAACACTGAATAACAACAGTCTCTAGCCCAAGTATTTGGCTGCCAGTCCAGAAAAAGCGCAGCAGATGGCATAAAATTTAACATCTGCAGCGTATTCAAAACACATCTAAAACAAGTTCTATGGTTCAAGTACCACTAAGAAGAAATGCTAAATTTAAATTTTGAACTATTCAATGTTGGATTTAATGATTTCAAATATGTCAAGGGAAATGCTCTTTCTATTTTATAGGAGCATACCACACTCTTGAAAATTTTGCTTTTGCCATTGAAGTGTTTGAAAATGCATCTCCGGATGTACCCAACACCACGCCAATCCCCTCTTTTCTTAGTTTCACCTCAATTTTGAAAAAAAAAATTCAAAGATGCATCTCTGTATACTATTTGAGCGTATTCAGAGACGCATCTCCGAAATACGTCTTTTGTGACTGGTTTTTTAATCAAGAGTCGCCACTATTAGTTTTTATCCTAGGGAAGGGAACCTAACAGAAAACTCTAATTTGCAGACAGAGATTCTAGGTTTCAGACTCAATTAGACGAAAGGAAGGTGTTAGGCACCTCTCATCCACCTTGTTACAAGGATATTAAGCTCTAGGTTTTGATTTGGGATAAATAGGGTTTTAAGTTTTAATTAGCAAGACTCGCTACGATTTTAAATCGCATGCCTACGCATCCTCTTATGAGGAATCAGAGTCTCAATTCGTAGTTCGTATGAGTTGGTGTTTTTTAGGGGTTTGCAAACATATTTTGAATCACTTCGCACTCGGTCGGGAGTAGTGATTGCAGAGATGGTTCAACTCAGAATCCCAGAAACTCAAAGAATTAAGCTATGAGCTGGCTCAACAAATTTTTTGTGATTAGCTGAAAGTTTTCAAGGATCAAGTTCTGAGTCACTAGGAAAGGAAATCTATCCTTCTGCTAGACAATGCTCCCTGGAAAGAGCACCAACCTTTAGAAGTTATTAAACCATGATATGAAAATCTTCCTCTGGCTATTATTCAAGACAAAGGCAAAGCAACTGAAGAAGCCACTGAATCAGAAAATGCTACAGAGTGTTCTGAGAAACTTGTATCTTCTGAGGATACACCAGGTTCATATTTGGTTATGCAAACTCTGGAAGAGTTAAAGAAAGAGAATGCAGTAATCAAAGAAAGATTGGACAAGCAAGAAGACATGAACAAAGAAATCAAGGAAATGCTGGGAAAACAAGAGGAATCAAGCACTCATATTAAAAGCTTGTTGGAAGCGTTGTTCACACGACTTCCCCTCCTCAATCTTAGTTTTTTTATAACCTATTTTCTGCATTCAACTATCTTGTTTTATCTGGCTCTGAGAGTGTTATTGAAATCATGTTTTAATATAAATCATCTTTTTGACTCTGAATATTAGTGTTTATATTGCTTTTTGATTCCTGGCAAAAAGGGGGAGAACGTAAGATATTTTCAATAACAGTATATCGAGACAACATCTCAAACATTTTAAATATCATAACTTCTCGTTTTTTTCTGAAAGCAAAACAGGAACAAAAGTCTGATGAAGACAGAAGGATATGCATTAAAAGCTCTGATCATAATGAACTTTAGGGAAGTAATTCATCTCTATTTGAGTACTCAACTCAGGGGGGACTCTTTAATGCTTTATGTTCTGTCTATTTTTATTGAAATATCCTAGTTTTTGTCATCATCAAAAAGGGGGAGATTGTTAGAACATAGTTTGATTCTACAATCCTCGTAAGAGTTTTGATGATAACAAACACAAAGAACAAATATGCACTCTAAAATTATATTCTATTTTATAGAGAAGTTCTGATGGAAGCAGACCAGAAGTTAAGCTATAAGGATGTTCCTGCTGTGAACTTAGACTTCTCAGAAAGTTCTGATGAATGAAGATCAGAAATTGCGCTAAGAGAAAGACGTTTTAACTCTGAACAAAAGTATAACACTGCAAATAGGACCTTTAGATTCTGACCTTCCAATGTTCTGAAGCAAGCAGCAAACAATTTCCTTAATGTTCTGAATCGTTACTATTCATCAAAGATGTATCAATTGCAATGACTACAAACATACAAGAATCTTTTAATTGAGGAAAGTGCATTAACTGGCATTTATCAAGTTTTCAATTACACAAGATTGCCGCGCCTATTTAAACAAGGAACAAGGTTAAATCATTCATGATTTACAACATAACAATTCACAATCCTTCAACGCTGCTAGTCATTATTCATACTATTCTCTAAACTGTGTAATACAGCACAAGTTTTGTGATACTGTTTTTGTAACGAAAAACATATTGTACACTGCTTTATTCATACTTTGTTTAGTGCAATTCCTTGAGATAAACCAGGTTGTGGTTGTACTCAAGAAGACTTTAGAAGTTGTCAAAGTAGTTGTGTAATCAAGTTTGATTAGTGAATTAAGACCTCGTTGGAGAGAGGCGAAATCACCTTGGCGGGTGGACTGGAGTAGTTTGAGATCAAATGAACCAGGATAAAAATCATCGTGTCATTTGCATTAATTTTTAAGATCCCAATTCAAATCCCCCTTCTTGTGTTTTTCAATTCTTCAAATGGTCCATAATTCTCCAGGCATGTTTAAAAACGGTTCGGTTGCAAGAGGTTTAGTGAAAATATCGACAAGTTGATTTTTACTATCAACATGCTCGAACACAACATCCATTTTTTCAACGTGATCTTGAAGGAAATGGTGACGTATCTCAATATGTTTAGTGCGATAATGTTACACTGAATTTTTGGTTAGATTAATTTCACTAGTGTTGTCGCACATGATAGGAATACACGAAAGTTTAATGTCAAAATCAAGCAATCGTTGTTTAAGCCACAAAATTTGGGCACAGCAACCACCGACTTCCATGTATTCCTCCTCGGCCGTTGACAAAGCTACGAAAACTTGCTTTTTACTATGCCAACTAGCCAAGGATTTTGAAAACATCTGATAAGTTCCACTAGTACTTTTCATATCCGATTTGCAACCGACAAAGTGGGAATCAAAGTAACCAATTAAGCTACAATCTCTTCCCATGGAATACCAAATCCAAAACTTAGAAGTACCAATGAGGTATCTAAGAATACGCTTAACCACTTTTAAATGCGATTACTTGGGAGCCAATTGATATTGTGCACACATACAAACGCTAAACATAATATCAGACCTAAATGTCGTAAGATATAAAAGGGATCCAATCATACCTCTATATTTCTTGACATCAACATCCTTACCCTTTTAATATTTATCCAAATTTCCATTTGTTTCCATAGGCATGTCAATTTCCTTTGCATCGCCCATTCTAAAGCGTTTTCGTAATTCGAGACAATACTTGGTTTGACATACAAATATCTCTTCCTTGAGTTGCTTTATTTGAAGTCTGAGAAAGTAGTTCAACTCCCCAATGAGACTCATTTAAAACTCTCCTTGCATAAGCTTAGATAACTCCTTGAATTGATGCATGTTAGTTGATCCAAAAATGATATCATCAATATAAATTTGAACAAGTAAAATATGCTTTCTTTGATGTTTAATAAAGAGAGTAGTATCTACCTTTCCTATAGAATATCCTTGATCAAGAAAAAACTTTCTAAGTCTATCATACCATGCCCTTGGGGCCAGTTTAAGACCATACAAAACACGTTTTAGCTTAATAACATGATTAGGATACTTGCAATTTTCAAAACTGGGAGGTTGTGAAACATACATCTCTTTACTTATGTATCCCTTAAGGAAGACACTTTTCACGTTCATTTGATATAATTTGAAGTTCTTAGAATAGGAATATGCTAGTAAAAGGCTTATAGCCTCGAGTCGGGTAATCGGAGCATAAGTATCCTTATAATAAATGTCTTTCTCTTGGTTATACCCTTGAGCCACTAGCCGAGTCTTATTCCTCGTTATCACACCATGTTCGTCAACTTTATTCCTAAGCACTCAACGGGTGCCTATAACTTGATGATTTTGTGGACGAGGGACAAGGTCTCAAACGTCATTTCTTTCAAATTGATTCAATTCTTCTTTCATGGCCATAAGTCAGTTCTCATCAAGTAAGGCATCCTTAGCGTTTTTAGGTTCAACTTGTGATACGTACGCGTGGTGATAACATAAATTACTTATCTTAGAGCGCATTGTTACCTCTTTTGTGATGTCACCAATAATGTTTTCAATTGGACGATCCTTTGAGGTTCTACACTCTAATGGAAGGCCATCATCTTTTTGTTGACTTTCATCATCCTTCTTTTCTTGGTTTTCATCTTCCTCCTTCTCAATCTCCACCACTTTAGGTTGATCAACTCCATTTTAGATGTCCTTGAATATGTCTTCTATAGATTCACCTACACCATGAAAAGAAATATCTTTCTCAATACTATTTGGAAAAGACTCACCAAAAGTAACATGAACTGACTGTTCGAAAATAAGTAATCTCTTGTTGTAAACTCTATATGCTTTACTAGATTGAGAGTATACAAGAAAGATACCTTTATCGGCTTCCGCCTCAAATTTCCCAAGGTTATCCTTACCATTATTTAAAACAAAACATTTACATCCAAAT